TGGACAGGAAGCACAGAAAGACAGGAAGGGCCCAGGTGAGATGCACCCCCATGGCACGCCCTCAGTGACCACTTCCTCTAGCCAGGCCCTACCACCTCCTAAATAACGCCACCAGCCAGGGAACCACACACCCAACATATGGCCTGTCGAGGCGGTTCCCAGTCAAACCATAGCACCCCATAACAGAGCGTGCTTGTTAGGGGAGCCCATGGAGTTTCTGTGACTCAGGCCAGCTCTCCCTGTGCTGTAGGCCCTCACACTGTGGCTGTTATTGCTTTAAGCAAACAGTACTTTTTAGATCAATTAGGAATAACAAAATAAAATAATATATTCTATCTTCCTTTATTCTTGTTTTCAGATGCTCTGCCTTTAAGTTGAAATGTTTGACCTATTTCAACATTTCTTTCATTGTTTTTTATGAGAAGTTCACCATAATTCTTGGACCTCTGTAGTTAAGGTGTCTACCCTTAGTAACCTCTGTGCTTATTTTCTAATTTTCTGTCTCTGAATTCTGCAGTTTGAATGTGATATATCCAGGGATGAGTAACTGTTTTAAGTAGACAGTTGAGCAGCACTAAGCACACTCACAGTGTTGTCAAGCCATGGCCACAGAACATTTCCAGAACTTTCCATAATCTCCAACAAAAACTCTGCACCTGTTAAAAAAGCACTCATTACTCTGTCCTTCCCAGCAGCCCCTATAACCTCTCTACTTTTTTCCATCTCTATGTAGTTGTTTATCCTATGTACATCCTACAGTTGGAATCATATAATATTTGTTCTTCTATGTCTGGATTATTTCACTTAGCATAATGTTTTCAAGGTTCATCTGTGCTATAGCTTATGTCAGAATTTCATTCCATTTTAAGGCTGAATAATTTTCCATTGTATAGTTCTTTTGTTATTGTTTGCTTGTTTACTTGCTATTTTAAGACAGGGTCTTGCTGTGTAGCCCAGGCTGACTGGCCTAGAACTCACTATGTAGTTAAAGCTGTCCTCAAACATTCAATCCTACTACCTCAGACTCCTGAGTTCTGGGATTACAGGTGTGTGTCACCATACCCAGCCCGATTTATTTATTTTTCTTTAGGTGAGACAGGAAGGCTGTGGAGGACTAGAGTAGGGTGCAGTCCTTTCTTCAGTTGAAAGGAGATTTCAGATTGGGCGTCTTGCAAAGCCCACCCCCTTTGAGGGAGACTTTGTTAGGGAGACATTTCAGAGGGTTTCACAATGGCCCACCTTCTACCACCCTCATCAGATCCATGGGAGGAACCTTTCTGTGATCCTCACCCTGAGCACCTGGAGCGGTTCCTGTGGGTCCCCTTACTGCCTAGACCACAGCTTCCTACTCAGCCTGCAACATCTTGTCAAAATTTCTGTTCAAGGGCTCCTTCCAGCTCTTGGCATCTCCGGACTTGTGCTGCAGGTCATAGACTTGTCACCCATATTTCTCTGAATACATGAGAGGCCAAGTACTCTGGAATCTCCATTTTCTAATGGGCTAAGGAAAGTCAATGTTTTTCAGTTTTTCGACTTTTTTCTTGTTGATGGGGTGATGACTTCCAAGGAGATTATGTGTAATAACAACAACAAAACTCATTCCCAATGATGGACTGAGCAATATGCTTTCTGTGAGCATGGGGTCCAGGTGTCAACATCAGGATTTCAAGACAGTGGAGCAATGGAATAGGGCAGCAGCAGCCAGAAGCACTGCGTATTAAGAAGATATATCTTTTCATGGATAGAGGAAGTTTTTGCTTTTGCAATTTTCAAAAGGACAGAGAGAATTTTCGGAGAATAAAGGAGTGAGCTCAGAATTGTTTGTAGAGACAAAAATGGAAAATAACTTGAATATCCAATTACTTGGGAGTGTTTACATTAATTGCCACCTACTGAGACAGCCTTCAAGTTGTTCACAGAATACAGGGCTGCTAAGCTGAGCAGGAGATCTTTGGCAGTAAAAAAGGATGACATTCATATGTGTTTGTCATGGGCTTGGAAAGGGTCTGAAGACACACATGAGCATTTGTGAAGAAGAGGGAAGAGTGGGGTGCTGCACTTGGTATTGTTTGGATTGGTAGTACAGTCAACTGATTTCGTAACAGCACAGGGATAAAGGAGGAAGGATGGAAATTTGATTTTTGCTGTTTTCTCTTCTGTACCTTTTGACTTTTTAATCCTACATATTTATTCTCATTATGACAATAAAATAAAATAGGACACCAGGAAATATGAAACACACTATTTGATATATCACCAGGCTCTTCCCTGCCTGTCTGGCCTTCACCCCTCTTTTTTCTTCTCTGGCTCACCTTAATCTGCGTGCCCCTTCACTATTCCCTCACTCAACCTGCTCCTCCCTTACCCCATTCTCTCTCACACCCACCCACACCCCCCCCACACACCCAGCTTGTCCCAGCTTCTCAGCCCACCTGACAGACTAACCCTGCCATCGCTACTATGCCACCTTGGGTGAGTCACTCAGGCTCTCTGACTGGACCTACTTCTTAGGGTTTTATTTCACACAGGGCAAAATTCCACAGTCACTGGTGAACAAGATGGCTAGAAATAACCAGAGTTATGAAAAGGTGGAAGAAGGCATCTTTCACTCCTAGTGCTGGGTTAAGTACCTCAGCTGACCATCAAATTTCTTCTCAGTGGGTCACCCCAAGGCCTGTGGAGCCTCGCTAGGCTGGTGCCAGCTCATGGGAGCACAGCCTGAAGGATGGGTGTGGAGAGAGAAGCTCCTTATGGAACTCATACTACCCTCCTCCATTCTCCCTTCTAGGTGCCTAGTGGGCTACCTCCTACCCTGAATGAAAATTTCTGGGGTGCTGGGAAGTGCTCCCCACCAGGTGATGAGCCACTGGCCCATATTCTGCACAGGTAGGCATGGCCCTGGTTCTCTGTTTCCATTACCCTGCTCACAACTTGCTATAGCTCCAGGTTCTGTAGACTCCAGGCACTCCTGTCTGGGCCTGGCCCCCTTGCTTCCTGCAGTTTGAAGTACTCTTGGGCTTGGCTGGGTTCTCCTCCATCACTATGAATCACTGCATCACAAGGCATGATAAGGAAAAACTGCCCTGCCATTGGGAAGGTGTCCAGTTCTCAGGCAGGGTCATGTTTAAACCTCAACTCTGTTTCTCTCCTGACATACGGCGCACAGTCAACAAGAAATGAGAAACCCACGCTCAACATTTTGACACTCCATTCTTTTGACAAGTATTTACTGAGCATATACTCTGCCAAGTGCAAGCCACAGGACTGTGACAGAGGAGGGTGGCCTGTCCCCCTGGTTTTCAGCCTCTTTACAGAAGACATGTGCCTGGTCCCCTCAGGTGCTCAGGCATAGCTGGCCTGAAAGGAGAGGGCGAAGCTCTGAGGAGCATCCATGTGGGAATTTGGCAAGATCTGGAGCCTGCTGCAGAGCAGGGCCTTTGGAGCTGGGGTGGGATTTGAACCCCACCAACTTCACACACTACCTGTGTGTGTCCTTAGGAAGGTCACATCAGCATTCTGCATCTCAAGTTTCTAGGTCTGGTGGTGAGGATAAGAACCACCTTAGAGTGCTGCAGGGGTCAGATAGGCTGATCCACGTGTCACCTGCTCACACACTCAGGCTCAGTAATGTACTCAGATCTTGAGTGTGGGAGGAGTCAGATGTGGCTTCATAGGAGGGTGGCCCTAAGCCACCCCCTTGTCCAGGTCTGGCTGGACCCAGTCAGCCTACGATCTGCAACCCACGTCCTGCACATCTCAGATGCCACTGTGCACAAGGGGCATGAGAGCATTTCCAGCTGAAATCTGGCATCATGTGCCACCTGTGGAACTGTAGCCCTTGTCTGAAATTCCTCCCCTGCCTTCTTCCTGCCTGTCAGAACTGCTGTACCTCCCTCCCTACCCACAGAAGCTCACACGGAATGTGACTTCTCTAGCAGCTTGCTGGCCACCTGATTTGCACCCTTTTTCTTAGCGATCTGTCTTTGCCTCTTGCTGTGTTGTTCTGGCTGAGGTAGAAGCTAATCCTAGAGAAAGTGGATGGGCACTCCGTCTCCACCTCTGCTGCCCTGATGCTGGGCCAGAATGGACACCTGCCACTTTCTCCTTTCATGATTCTGGATGTTTGGGTGCTGTGTGTGTTGTGGCTTTTGGGTTGGGGTGGTAGGAATAGCACCCCCTTAAAAGGGAGTTCTTCTGAAGAGGGGTGGTGATACTGACTGTGGAGGAGGTGGAGTCCAGGCATTTGCCAAGGCAGAATGGCAGTTGGGAAGAATCAATGGGTATTTTTTGCCCCTAAAGAGTATTTTGCCATCCAAGATGTCAGTGCAAGTTTAGGGAAGTCATTACTTGCACAGGATGATCTGGCAGGGCTGCATGATGCTGGCTGGCTCGAGGTTCTTGCTGAGACAGAGCTGGGTTCTATTCCTGGTTCCTATTCCCTTCAGTGTCCCACTATATTATAGCTGCCTGTCTTGAGCAGAGAGCAGGCTGGAATGGGATCAGTGGGCCCACCTGAGCTCAACCCCATCTGTGTCCCTCCCCTGAGACTCAGACCTCACCCTTCTCATGCATCCAGAGGAGACAGACTGGCTGTCTCAACTTCTGTTTATCATGTGGATCATTTCCTTCCCCTGAGTCTCAAGCCTGAGCTCCTCTGACATGCTGGATGGAGAGCAGTTAGATGAGGAGATGAGCTGCCCCTGGCCTTGGCCTCAGGCAAGGGTGCCTCTACACGAAAATGCCCCACCCTTCTGCTTGCCTGAGTCCTGCTCCTTCTCTCCAAAACAGTCCTCACATCAGGGACAAAAGGTGCAGGTTTGGGTCCCAGGTTTTCCTGCTGGTGGTCATGAAGCCAAACCCCTGATGAAGGTAAGCCTGTCTTGCACGTGGGTCTTCATCACTGCTGCCCTGTGGGCCCACACTTCTGGCTAGCATCAAAGGAAGACATCTCAGGTCAAGAGGCAATAGTGGCATTTTGGGGCACTTGCAGAGAAGCCCCACTACCTCTGGCTGTCCAAAGTAAGTCCCAGGGTTTCTGGGGGGAAGCCCAAGTTGCTCTTCTGGGCAGCAGGAGCTGAGGGAGACTCAGGATCCTGCTGACCCCTCTGTGCTGCTTGCTCCTCTGTAGCCCTGGGGCTTAGCTGCAGGGGCTGGTCCTCCACAGAGGCACAGGCCTGGGCACCCAGCTTGGAGGGTTCCAGCCTGAGCTGGCTCAGCTTCAGGAAGTGGTCGGGACATGTCTGGTTCTGTGGGCTGACTGGGGAAGACAAAGCACAGACCTTGGCCCCTTGTTTCTGCTGCAGAATGTCAGGGGCCCAGGCCTGAGGCTGTCTGAAAAGCTCACTGCCTGTGTCCTGCCTTGGAGGCTGGTCAGCTGGGTAGATCTGCATGGCTGCCACATGGTTCACACAGCCTACCAGTGTAGGCCCTGCATCGAGAGTGCTTCCCCCATGACCTGGCCACCAGGGCCCTTGGGAATGTCTCAGATTCCCAGATTGCCTAGGCTCTTTGCTTTTACTGAAAATGTTGGTTGTCGTGGTGACTGCAGAGCCCACAGAGGAGAATGAGCCTTCAGGGCAGCCTTGTGTCCTTTCCTCTAGAGACAGGTCCTTGTATAGGGTACTGGAACCCCTTACAACACCCCCTGGGACCTCTCTCTCTCCAGCAAGACAGGCTTTGTTGCTGGGTCGTGCCCACAGCTCCTGCCTACTGGGTGCTGAGCACACAGTGGCCCTGCCTGTATCTAAGGCTTGATTCTCCCTGCTCTCCACCTTCTCTGTTGGTCCCCTTGGGATTCTAGAGGGGTCTGGTGGGGCTGTGGGCTCCCCAGGGGCAGGTACAGGGGCAGGAGGGGTGCGGCGGAGCCAGTTGACAATGCCCATGGTGATGGCAAGCTCCGTGTCACAGAGCTTCAGCAGACACTCCTTGCCCTTCCAGGAGCTCTGTAGAAAGCCCTGGCTGAGCAGGTCTGGGCCTGGCGCGGGGGCCAGGTTCTCTTCAGCCCCCACGTGGAAGCTGCACATGGACAGTGGTGTCCCCAGGGCTGGCCCTGACAGACTGTCAGACACACACAGGTCATCATCCAAGCTCGGGCCAACAGGGACCTCACTGGGGTCATAGAAAAGCTCATAAAGGGCATCTCCACTGTAGCTGTCCCTGGGGAAGGCAGCTGCAGGTGTGCCTGGGCTTGGGGCCTCCTTCTTGTCTTCTTCAAGACCAGGTGAAAAGGAGTCATAGTAGCCCTCGTCACTCGTGGACACAGATTCTGGCTGCTCACTTTTGGGTGTGCTTGTGTCTATGGAGCTGGCTTTGGAACCACTAGGGGGACCTCTGCAGGGGAAGAGGGGCAGCTCGGCCAGCCCAGCCACATCTGGCCTTGGCTGGTCTGTGTCCATCCCCTGGGGTCCCACCAGCCATGGGCCCAATAGGGCACGCTGCTGTTGTCTCACCGAGTGATTCACACTGTCCCAGAACTTGGTGAAGTCTGACACTTCATTCTGGGCAGGTGATGCCAGCTGCTCCATGCTTCCCTGGGAAGGGCCCTTGGGAGCCTTGCTCTCCACAGCCTGGGATGCCCAGTTTGAACTTTTAGAGCCTCCACTTAGTTCTAGGGATGGCACTGAGCTCTCATCTGCAAAGATCTCTCCACAGCCTGTGAGTGAATCAAAACTCTTAAGTGAGGCCATGTCCTCACATAGGACACTGCAGAGGTCGAAGTCAGGCAGAAACTCACTGTCGGACAGGTCCTGGCACAGGCTGTCCAGCCCCAGCCCCTCACCCAGGGAGAGGAAGGCTTTGCCATGCTGCCCTATAGCTTCTGACGGGAGCCTGGGGGAGGATAGGCTCTTCTCCTTGGCTGCCAATGAGGCGAGGTTCTCTGTCTTGCTTTTGCGGATGTGGAATAGGTTCCGGAAGCACTTCTTAGGCCGTTTCAGGGAAATTCTCTTTCTTGGGATGCTCTTGGCCACAGCTGGTACGAAGGGCATCTGGGGCACAAAGTGACGGTAGTCAATCATGCGCTGGCTGCTGGAGGGCCCCGGGAAGCTCACACTGCCCACCAGCTGCCCTGTGGTGGTGGCTGCTTTTGCAGCCCCAGGAACACTGTTGTGTGTCTTGCTCTTCCGCACCAACTTGAAGGTGGTTCCACAGAGGGCCACGGGCTCCTCCTCAGGGTCGGGCTGCACCCCCCTGTTGGGGGATCTGTCATACCCTTGTGCACTGGAAATGACTTGGGAGCTCTTCTCACCAGAGGGCTTCTGCTGCCCTCCCACTGAGACTGACCAGGGGCCTGCATCCTCCCTGGCTGGAGGAGTGACTGCTGGATCTGGTGGTTTCTCGTGGGAAATCTGCAAGCTGGATTTGATGAAGGTCTTTCCCCTCTTCAGTTCCATGCTGCTGGTGCTCCAGCCACTGTGGAGGAAAACAGAAAGCACTTAGTATCCAAGATTGGAAGGCTGGTAGGCTCTGGAAGACCTCTGTTTACCATTTCTCCTGTAGCTTTCTCAGCTGCAAGGACTTTGTTCCCAGTGGGTCCTCCATGGAGGAGGGAGAGAGGAAGATAGAACAACTCCCACATACTGCTCTACCTTTTTTTTTTGGTTTTGGTTTTTTCAGCACTGGGAATCCCAGTGTCTCATATATGCTTAGGCAAGCCCTCTCCCACTGAGCTGCACCCCAGTCCACCATTCCATCCTGATAGATAGCTGAACCCCAGAGCAATTAAGTCACATGTCTAAAAGCACATAGTAGAAGTCAAAATGTGAGCTAGTTGATGCCTGATGGCATTTTGCCAAAGCACCTCTCAGCATATCTGACCAATGCCGGCTCCCTTTTCCAGGCTCTGAATTCATCCTCATCACATCCTTAGGAGGGATATATCATGGCCCTTCTGAGTGCAAGGGGCAGAGGATTCAATTAAGGTAACCACCTCCTCCATCTAGGAAGAGACCCAGCTGAAAGGGAAGTGCACACCTGCCTGCCTCCCAGGCCTGAGGCAGCTAGCCATTCACGGTGTAGAGGGTGGTCAGGGATACACACTGCCCTAAAGGACCAAATGATCTGCTGGGGAAGGCCAGACTCAATCTACACAGAGGCCATCAGGCAAGAGGCAGCTGAGCATCGCACAGTGCATGCAGAGCTTCAGGGTGGAGAGGAGAGAGAACCTCATGGTAGGAGTCAATCTGGGCCTACCACAGGCTGTGTTGGGGACACAGAGCATCAGCAGGCCAGGAGGGCAGGCAGCTGTCATCAACAGATGTTGGTTTCTGGAGTGCAAGTCAGATAATGTTTCTGATACCTGGATGAGTTCCAGGGGGCAGAAGCTGCAGTCTGCTATGGGGGTGAGATTGGGTCTAGGTGGCAAGAGTGCTAGTTTGACTTGATTGTTCTGGCACAGCTTAACTCTAGGTCAGCGAAGCACCACTGCTACTTCTGATGAGTGGGTTGAAGCAGGGGCATTGTGGAAGCTGGTGCATCTGACATCTTGGTGGGGGACAGAATAAATGAGGAGAGAGGATGGATGAGAAGCAGTCCAAATGTGCTGAGGATGGGAGTAAGGTGGGTGCTACTAGAGGGACAAAGTTATATGGTCTTCCAAAGGAAGAAACACCAGGATCCAGCAATCAGAGGAAAGAGAAGCACGAGTCCTGGATGCCAAGGGAGTAGGAAAGGGCAAGGTGAGAAAAGTCAAGAAAGGGGAAGGACATGAGCTGGGTGGGGCAGGAGAGGAGCCTGCACCAGGAGATGGCTTCAGAGAGAGAAGAAAGCTGACCCTTGGGGTCAGCTTGGAGACTCGCAAGAGCTTATTATGAGAGGTCAACATCATCTGAGAACCTCCTCAGTTCTTCCTTTTTTTGCCTAAAATGGAAATACTTTCTGATTGCTACAGACCTTCCCTCCCTATCCTCATCCCCTTTTCTTAGCAGTGAATGGCCTGAGGATTGTCCTCTTTCAGTTTGGCCAGGGAGAGACTAAAGAAGAGATATTGTGACCAGTTCTTTTGACTCTCCAGGAGGACTGCTCTGTGGGTAATTTCTGCACTCACTTGTCCCAGCTTCCAGCTTAGGAGGACTATAGCACGCAGAAAGCAAGTGACCCTGTCAGCTTGCATGACAGGGTCCTGCAGGGAAGGAAGCCTCATAGCTTGATGGCGATAAGAGGACAGAGTCAGTGCCAGGGTCCCTGGATTGCTTCTGCAGGAAATCTGGGTAAGCAGAAGGGCTGCCTCACAGCCTAGTTGGCAAAGCTGGTATTGCAGGGGCTCACGGGGCAAGATGACTAGCCTCCACGTGCTCCCACATGTGGGTAGTGCACCTGGGACTTTTGGCTGGAGATATGGAAGAAACAGGCACCATGCCCAGGAGAGTCACAGAACCCAGGAATTGCTCCAGCTGTAGCTCAGCACTTGGTGGCATCACCTTGAACCAAGTGACAGTGCCTTGGGCTGTCATGTTGGCTTTCTGCCTCCTAGAAGATGGCATGTGCCCAAGCCTTTCCCACTCTGCACCTGCATACCTCATTTCCACTCCACACATTCCTTTGCAACCCAGATAAAGCCTCCCACAGCTCTGATAGGCTTTGCTGTACACAAAAGTCTGGGTTTGGGTGGCAGAGAATTCAAATTTGAGTTTGGTCCATAATCTTATAAGATATTACTCATAATTTTATAAGTAGTTCCTACATTACAAAGAATAAATTCAGTGTTGGAAAAGTCAACAGATTTCCCATGTCACATAAGTGGTAAGTGACAGAGTTGGGATTTAAACATGACAGTCTATGAACCAAAAGCTCAAAATCTATCAGCTCATCCCTCTCTTTGTGTTCAAGGCTTGCCTTGAACGCTCAGTCTTCCTTCCTTAACCTCCTAAGTGCTGGGATTATGGTGTGCACCACCCTGCCTAGCTCTGTGAAAAATCTGAAAGTAGAATAATAAATGTGTTCTCATGAGGGATTTGGGAAAGCACAATGAAAGTAAAGATTATAGGGAACAGGGGTACTCACATAGATTTTGAAATAATTAAATTTCAGTGATGTTAATTCTGAGTTCTTTATTTCACTTATTTTTATGTTTTAGAAAGATATTTTTGGTTACTATACCCTTAGAAATAACTTCAACCAGGTCACAATGAGAATTATTTCACTCAGTGCAGAATTTTGCAACTGTAAGGACTAAAATATTTGACAAAGATCTCTATAAATAAAACTACTGGTTTCTCAGTTCTGAGAATAGTCAACCAATTTAAAATGAGGACTATTTGGAAATTTCACTCCACTTTGAAGTTGAAACAACTGCATTGATAAGTGATTGGATTTGGTATCAATGATGCTGCAAACCTGCTTGAGTTTATTTAGCATTCTATACACAAATAGGACAAGAACTAGGGAACAGAACAATGAACTGGAAACATCAATACTGGGCAATCGCATGGCCACTAGTCTGTGTTCACTCTAGGTAGCTTCTAAATGAGAATATTTGATTGAGCCTGTCTCTTTGGAACGTGTGTCCTGCATTTGTGTGGGTGAGAACCCCCTGTGAGGGTGGACGGCCTGCTGCCTGGCTAGAGGCAGGCTGAGCATCACCCCCATGACAGTTCTCAGGGCAACAGTGAGATTTATGTGGACAGCCAGATGCTGGCACTGTCACTGCCTAATGGTAGAGGCCAAGTGTGTCTAGGTTCTCAGTTGCACAAATGCACACTGTGTTTTGTAATTCTGTGGCTAAAGGCACATCAGTGGAAACTCAACAAGCATCATGGCAGGTCCTCCTCACCATGTGCCACGTCTCTTCCCAAAAGGAAAGCAGATTGCCCCTTCTCTTCTGGTCTGCAGTACTCAGGACCATTGCTTGTTCATTCTGGTGCTGGTCTCATTCCCAAACAAGATTGAAAATTCTTTAAGGCACAAGATTTCAACTATAGTAGAGTGTGACCTACTACTTATATAAATGAAGAAATTTATGTATTTGAGACACCTTAACCAAATATATACATCTAAGTTTCCTAAATAGGATGCTGGGTTTGGAATTTTTAATTCCACAGACACAGCTTACATACATCGTTTTCTAAGATGGGCACCAGTGGCACCAAAAGCCCTGAGCTGTCTCTCATCTCTAAGATGATCTTGCAAATTCCATGAGAACAGGAACCACACAGTGTATTTATTTAATTCTGTTTCATGGATGTGGTAAAAACCAAAACCTAAAAGACATCAAAAGACAGCCAGGCAAAAGATTCAAGATGCATATTCTAGGCCAAGGGAATACCCTGCAAAAAAGATCTCATGAGCAAGAGAAAGAGAGTTACTTAAGGGTCTGAAAGTAGTCACAGTGACTGGAGCAGAAAGCCAGTAGGATGAGCCAAGAGACTGTCCAGGCAGACACCTGGTCTGAGGTGTCAGGAGGGCCTTGGCTTTTATCTTGTGAACCATACATAGGAAGCCAGCTATCAAGAACAGTTTTTGGCTGTCACAGGTGGCTTTAGTTGCAGACAAAAACAGAAAACTGGGTAACAGAAGTGGCAAGGAGGTGGGTTAGGAAACACACCAGAGGCCAGTGGAGAAAAGGTGGTGGCAGAGACTCCCACATCTATCCGACACACAGCACACATATGGACATGGATTTATTGCAAATTGAGTACATGAAATCATTCTGCTGGCCACTTTCATACATGATCAACTTTACCTTAGCTGTACAGGATTTTCTTCTCCCTTTGAGAAGGTAATATGGTGCCTATCTTTGCCTTTTTAATGTGATTGTAGGGCGCAAAATAAAAACACGAGTGATACACAGGGAGCAGAAATGGTTTAAGACATAAAATACTGGTATTTGCTATGGTTCCCCTGTCCAGTGCCCAATATCCAGAGAAATCTCAGCACTGAAACACAAAGGGGCATATGGCTTAGGAAGAAAGCCCTGTCCAGGGGCTTCCTGGAGATTGGGGTGGGAATGGAGGCTTTGGGGAAGGATTCATCTCTGTGTGAATGGGTGGAAAGAAGGCCATTGTGGTATGAAAAAGCTCTCTTGTTCTGGGGTGGGGATGAGGTGGGGAATAAAGCAGAGATAGAATCTGTGGTGAGAGCATCACCAAGTCACCAGCCCCGCCTTGGGAAGACAAAAGCCCTTTGGGGAGCAAAGGCCCCTGTGCACCTCCTGTAAGGGCCCCTGGGCTTCCTCACCTGCTCAGTAGAGAGATGGGCCTCCGCAGTCTTTTCTGTTCCTCCCCAGCCCGCGCGTCTCCCATTCTCTAGCACAAACCTAAAATGATCCTCCACCCCCACTTCTACCCTGACTCCTCAGGCCCCACACCATCTCCGTTGGGCACTGTGGGGTGCAGGGGTGCTTGTCTTGGTCTGTGCACTCAGCCCTCCCATCGCTCGAGACAACGCACAAAAATTC